AAAAAAAAAAAAAAAAAAAAAAAAGAAAAAGATTAGAACATAAATAGATTGGAGCAGAAATTATATTTGAGATTCCAAACAGCCTAAAATTTATATCATTTCAAATTAATTCTAACTCAGCCTTTCCCCTAGAAAATAAAATTTAGTCAACCCTGCATATTTATGAATTCTGCATCCACGGATTCAACCAACTGTGAATTGAAAATTCAGAAGAACTTCTATAAGTTGACCACCCAAGGAACTATAATAAACTGGTCAATATACAGAATATCCATTGAGTATATGTGGTACATGTCTGGTCTACAAAACTTAGGTCAATTTAAGGAGGTAGTCAATGTAGGGAGGCAGTCAAATATGGAAACTGTACTGTATTTAAAAAAAAAGTAGATAATGTGTATGTGCATATAGATATATGTACATGTAATAAATATGATGGAATACTATAGGCCATAAAAAGGAATGAAATAGCTAGAAGTGAAGACCATCATCTCAGTATCTTGGGAATGGAAAAACAAATACCATATGTTTCTTACTTTTAAGTGGGAGATAGATGATGGGTACATATGTTACTGCAAAGGGGAACAATGGATACCAGAAAGAAAGAAGGGGAAGGTTGGAGGCGATATGAGGGATCAAAAATTACATGTCAAGGTTGAATGCAGTGGTTCATGCCTGTAATCCCAGCACTCTAAAGGTTAAAGCAGAATGATCTCTTGAGGCTAGAAGTTAAGAGATCAGCCTAAGTAACATATCAAAACCACATCTCCATAAAATATGGAAAAAATTAACCAGACATGGTGGCACATGTTGTCCCAGCTACTTGGAGGCTGGGTCAGGAGGATCACTTGAGCCTAAAAGTCTGAGGTTGCAGTGACCTTTGAAGATGCCACTACACCCTAGCCCAAGAAGTAGAACAAGACTCTGACTCAAAGAAAAAAACTGTACATCAAATACAATGTACACTATGCAACCATGGGTACACTAAAAGCCCCGATTTCACCACTATATAATTTTCAACGTAACAAAAAGCACAAGTACATTCAGAATGAAGGGGGAGCTCAAATAAAAAATAATACAAATTTAAAAATTATAGTATTAATAACTACTTACATAGTACTTACCTTGTATTAGGTATTACAAGTAATCTAGAGATAATTTAAAGTATATAAGAGAATATACATAGGTTATATGCAAATACTGCACTATTTTATATAAGGGACTTAAGCATCTGTGGATTTTGGTATCTGAGGGGGGTCAGTATTCCTGGAAGCAAACTCCCACTGATATGAAGAAAACAACTGTACACAGAATCAGCTCTTTCAGTTTAAGGGTCTATACAATTGTACTAACAGCATGTCCAACGTTACATCAACAAACCTTAAAGCATGGATTAGCAGCCCTGAAACAATTAAGAATTCCTTCTAGATACTGCATCATACCCACATTAATTGATTTACCTATTTAATTTACATCTTTAATCCCAAAGATTCTATTTATTTATTTTTTTTGAGACAGAGTCTCACTATGTCACCCTCAGTAGAGTATGGTGGCTTCACAGCTCAAAGCGACCTCAAACTCTTGGGCTTAAGTGATTCTCTTGCCTCAGCCTCCCAAATAGCTAGCCCGCCACAATGCCCGGCTAGTTTTTTGTTGTTGTGGTTGTCATTGTTGTTTAGCGGGCCTGGGCTGGGTTTGAACCCGCCAGCCTCAGTGCATGTGGTTGGCGCCATAATCACTGTGCTATGGGCGCCGAGCCCAAAGATTCTCATATGAGCATGTCATTTCACTGCTAATCAATCTTTTCCATAAATACAAAAATGTCTCATAAAAGAAATCATACCTGTAACTTTCTACAACAGGTATGATGTAATGAATTTAGGGGAGGAAGGTGATATAGTGAAAAAATTAAATTTAAGAGTATATTAGACAAAGCATTACCTTTTTAAATGAAATAATCCATAATCATGCTCTGCAAGAAACATCATTGTTCTGACACATGTCAGTAAACAATTGTAACTGCTTTCAGGGTTAGCTAGTGTAGCTAATAGACAGTCACAGATTGAGGCCATCAATTCTTTGTTTGGTAGAGAATTAGAGAGCTGCTCCAGTTCAGAAATAGAACCTTCAGAAGAGCTTGGCAAAATAAGTGCAATGTCCTATAGGGGAGGAAAGAAGCAGGGGAAAAATAGATTTGTAAAATCATTATCACCATCACTTAGCACTTTTGAGAAATACGTAGCAATTAATAATTAGCAATTATCTCATTAAAATATTATGGCTACGATCCCATCCCAACTATATATTCAAACACATTAAGAATAACGGTCCATGACTGCATTAATGTACACAGCTATGATTTAATAAAAAGAAAAAGAAAAAAGAATAACGGAGTTGGGGGCAGCACCTATGGCTAAAAGGAGGACACGGGCCCCCATATACCAGAAGTGGCAGGTTCAAACCTGGCCCCAGCCAAAAACTGTAAAAAAAAGACAAGAAAGAGAAAGAAAAGAATAATGGAGTTGGCTTGGCACTGTAGCACAGTGGTTACAGCACCAGCCACATATACCGAGGCTGGTGCTTCGAATCCAGCCAGGGGCCAGCTAAATAACAATGACAACTACAACAAAAAATGGCCAGGTATTGTGGCTGGCGCCTTTAGTCCCAGCTACTTGGGAGGCTGAGGCAAGAGAATCGTTTAAGCCCAAGAGTTTGAGGTTGCTCTGAGCTGTGATACCACAGCACTCTACTGACAGAGACATAGTAAAACTCTGTCTCAAAAAAAAAAGAATAATTTTTCTTATTTTGAGTCATTTTGCCCCTTTATGAAAGTTAACCCAAGAATACGTATCTAAGCTCAAAATCTGTAGCTCAGTGGCTAGGGTGCCAGCCACATACACCAGAGCTGGTGGGTTCAAACCCGGCCCAGGCCTGCCAAACAACAATGACAACTACAACAAAAAAATAGCCACGCTATGTGGCAGGCACCTGTAGTCCCAGCTACTTGGGAGGCTAAGACAAGAGAATAGTTTAAGCTCAGAGTTTAAGGCTGCTGTGAGCTGTGACGCCACAGCACTCTACCAAGGGACAAAGTAAGAGTTGGGCTCAAAAAAAAACAGAGAATAATACACACCTAAAGAAATAAAGACTTAAGTATTTTTTTAAATAACTTTATGTTATTTTTACTCTAAAATTGAAAAAATATTCTTTCTGTATCAGAATGAGTATAGTTTCTATTTTCAAACAGTTAAATAAAAAAAAATATTTTGGCCAGGCACAGTGGCAAAGTTCAAGATCAGTCTGACCAAGAGTGAGACTCCATCTCTACCAAAAATAGAAAAATTTGTCCAACGTGTTTGTGTGTAGGCGCACATGTGCGCGGGGTGGGAGTGGGGTGCCTGTATTCCCATCGACTCAGGAGGCTGATGTAGGACTGTCCAGAAGTTTGAGGTTGCTATGAGCTAGGTTGAGGCATGGCACTCCAGCCTAGAACAACAAAGTGGCCCCCAACCAAAAAAAATTTTGGTATTAAAGTAGTTAAATCACTGCATTATTTATTATTTCTATCTTTTGGATTTAGAAAGAAACTACTCAGAGAAATAAAGTTTAGTAAACACATCAATATTTTAATTTTTTTTTTTTTTTTAAAGAAACGAAGGTCTTGCTTTATCACCTAGGGAGGAAAGCAGAGGTGAAATAACAGCTCACTATAGCCTTCCTGGGCTCAAGATATCCTCTACTTCAGCCTCCAGAGTACCTGGGACTACAGGTACACACCACCACACCCAATTAATTTTTAAATTGTTTTGTAGTGATGGGGTCTCACTATGTTGCCTAGCATGGTCTTGAACTTCTGGCCTCTAGCAATATACCCACCTCTGCCTCCCAAAGTTCTGGGATTATGAGAATGAGCCACCACACATGACAATAAACTTTTTTTTTTTTGAGACAGAGCCTCAAGCTGTCACCCTGGGTAGAGTGCTGTGGCATCACAGCTCACAGCAACCTCCAACTCCTGAGCTTAAGCAAGTCTCCTGCCTCAGCCTCCCAAGTAGCTAAGACCAAAAGTGCCAGCCACAACAACTTGCTATTTTTTGGTTGCAGCCGTCTTTGTTGTTTGGTGGGCCTGGGCTGGATTCGAACCCGCCACCTTGGGTGTAC